CAACCTTCAGCAGCGTGACGACAACTCTTCAGCAGCGTGACAACAACCTTAGCAACGTGACGACAATCTCCAGCAGCGTGACGACAATCACCAGCAGCGTGACGAAAATCTCCAGCAGCGCAACAACAATCCCAGCAGCGAGACGACAACCTACAGCAGGGTGACGACAACCGTCAGCGTGACAACAACCTTCAGTAGGGAGACTTAACCTTCAGCGTGACGACAACCTCCAGCATCGTAGCGACAACCTCCAGCAGCGTGACGACAACCTTCAGGAGCGTGACGACAACAGCAGGAGCGTGACGAAAACCTTCAGCGTGAAGACAACCTTCAGCAGGGTGACGATAACCTTCAGCGTGACGACAACCTTCAGCAGGGTGACGACAACCTTCAGCGTGACAACAACCTTCAGCAGGGTGACGACAACCTTCAGCGTGAAGACAACATTCAGAGTCACACAACCTTCAGTGTGACGACAATATTCAGCGTGACGACAACCTTCAGCAGCGTGATGACAGTCTCCAGCATCGTGACGACAACCTCAGCAGCGTGAGGACAACCGTGAGCAGCGTGACGATAACGTCCAGCTGCGTGACGACAACCTCCAGCAGCGTGACGACAACCTTGAGCAGCGTGATGACAACCTCCAGCAGTGTGACGACAACCTCGAGCAGTGTGACGACAACCTCGAGCAGTGTGACGACAACCTGAGCAGAATGATGACAACCTCCAGCAGCATGACGACAACCTTCAGCAGCGTGATGACAACTCAGCAGTGTGACGACAACCTTGAGCAGCATGATGACAACCTCTGTAGTGTGACGACAACCTCGAGCGTGACGACATACCTTGAGCAGCATGATGACAACCTCCAGCAGCGTGACGACAACCTTCGGCAGCGTGATGACAACCTCCAGCAGTGTGACGACAACCTTGAGCAGTGTGACGACAACCTGGAGCAGTGACGACAACCTTGAGCAGCATGACAGACCTTGCAGTGTGACGACAACTTCAGCAGCGTGACGACAACCTCTACCAGCGTGAGGACAACCTTGAGGAGCGTGATGACAACCTCCAGCAGTGTGACGACAACCTGAGGCATATGACAACCTCTAGGACACAACCTAGCAGGATGACAACCTCTTGTAGTGTGACGACAACTCCAGCAGCGTGACGGCAACTCTCACCAGGTGAGTGACAACCTGAGGAGCGTGACGAAACCTCCAACAGCGTGACGACACCTCCAGCAGCGTGACGACAACTTCCAGCAGCGTGGACAACCTCCACCAGCGTGAGGACAACCTTGAGGGAGGATGAAACCTCCAACAGCGTGACGACAATCTCCAGCAGCGTGACGACAACCTCCAGCAGCGCGGACGACAACCTTCAGCAGCGCGACGACAACCTCCAGCAGCGGAAGACAAATTCCAGCAGCGTAACGACAACCTCCAGCAGCGTGATGACACTCCACAGTTTGACGACAACCGCAGAGTGACGACACTCAGCAGTCAGACGACAACCTCGCAGCGTGGATAATTTCCAGCAGCGTAACGACAACCTTCAGCAGCGATGACAATTCCAGCAGTGAGACGACAACCTTCAGCAGCATGATGACACCCAGCAGTGAGACGACAACCTCCAGCAATGACGACAACCGTCAGCGTGACAACAACCTTCAGTAGGGTACTTAACAGCTGAAACTCCAGCATCGTGGCGACAATCTCAGAAGCGTGACGACAACTAGGAGCGTATGAATCAGCAGGACGCACCCGGCAGTGGTGGGGTTGGGGGGGGGGTTGGGTGGGGGGTTTCAGCGTGACGACAACCTTTAGCAGCGTGACGACAACCTCCAGCAGCGTGACGACAATCTCAGCGCGTGACGACAACCTTCAGCAGCGTGAGACACCAGCGGACAACTTCAGCAGCGTAGAAAACCTTCAGCAGCGTGCACCTTAGCAGCGTATACAACCTTCAGCAGCGTGACGATTATACCTTCAGCTGCGACGACAACCTTGAGTGCGATACTTCAGCAGCGGACGACAACCTTCAGCAGCGTGATAACAACCTTCAGCAGCGCGGACGACAATCTCCAGCAGCGTGACGACAACCTTCAGCAGCGTGAAGACAACCCAGCAGCGTGATGACATCCTTCAGCAGCGTGACGATAACTCGGAGCAGCGTGACAACAATCTCAGCAGCGTGACGACAACTCAGCAGCGACGACAATCTCAGCAGCGTGACGACAACTTTCAGCAGCGTGATGACAATCTTCCGCAGCATGACGACAACCTCCAGCAGCGTGATGACAATCTCTGCAGCGTGACGACACTGAGCGTGACGACAATCTCAGCAGCGTGACGACAACCTTCAGCAGCGTGACGACAATCTCGGCAGCGTGACGACAACCTTCAGCAGCGTGATGACAATCTGCAGCGTGACGACAATCCAGCAGCGTGACGACAACCTTCAGCAGCGTGATGACAATCTATTGCAGCGTGACGACAACCTTCAGCAGCGTGATGACAATTCGAGCAGCGTGACAACCTTCAGCAGCGTGACGACAATCTCCAGCAGTGTGACGACAACTTCAGCAGCGTGACGTCAATCTCCAGCAGCGTGACGACAACCTTCAGCAGCGTGACGACAATCTTCAGCAGCGTGATGACAACCTTCAGCAGCGTGATGACAACCTTCGAGCAGCGTGACGACAACCTTCAGCGCGTTGGGCGACAACTCCAGCAGCGTGACGACAACCTTCAGCAGCGTGACGATAACATCTGCAGCATGACGGCAACCTTCAGCAGCGTGACGACAATCTCCATCAGCGTGACGACAACCTGCAGCAGCGTGACGACAACCATGCAGCGTGACGACAACCTCCGGCGTGACGTATCTCCAGCAGCGTGACGACAACCTTCAGCAGCGTGACGATAATCTCAAGCAGCGTGACGACAACCTTCAGCAGCGTGACGACAATCTCCATCAGCGTGACGACAACCTTCAGAAGCTTAACGACACCCAGCAGCGGAAGACAACCTCCAGCAGCGTGACGACAATCTGGAGCGTGACGACAACCTTCAGCAGCGTGACGCTTGGGGGACAACCTTCAGCAGCGTGACGACAACCCAGCAGCGTGACGACAATCTCGAGCAGCGTATGACAACCTTCAGCAGCGTGACGACAACCTTCCAGCAGCGTGACGACAATCTCTAGCAGCGTGACGACAACCTCCGCAGGTGACGACAATCACTGCAGCGTGACGACAATCTCCAGCAGCGTGACGTCAATTCCAACAGCGTGACGACAACCTTCAGCAGCGTGACGACAATCTCCAGCAGCGTGACGACAACCTTCAGCAGCGTGACGACAATCTCGAGCAGCGTGACGACAATTCTGAAGGTACGACAACTACAGCGTGACGACAACTCAGCAGCGACGTCAACCTCGAGCAGCGTGACGACAACCTCAGCAGCGTGATGACAATCTCCAGCAGACGACAACCTGCAGCAGCGTGGACGACAACCTCCAGCAGCGTGACGACAATCTCCAGCAGCGTGACGACAACCTTCAGCAGCGTGACGACAACCTTCAGCAGCGTGACGACAACTCTCCAGCAGCGTGACGACAACCTTCAGCGGACGACAACCTCCAGCAGCGTGATGACAATCTCCAGCAGCGTGACGAAAACCTTCAGCAGCGTAACGACAATCTCAGCAGCGTGACGACAACCTCTGCAACCTCAACAGCGTGACGACAACTTCAGCAGCGTGATGACACCTCCAGCAGTGTGACGACAACCTCCGACAGTGTGACGACAACCTCCGAGCAGTGTGAGGAGCAACCTTGAGCAGATGATGGCACCTCCAGCAACATGGCGTAACCTTCAGCAAAGCGTGATGATGCCTCCATCAGTGTGGCGACAACCTCGAGCAGCTGATGACAACCTCTTGTAGTGTGACGACAACCTCGAGCAGTGTAGCGACAACCAGGCAGCATGATGACAACCTCCAGCAGCGTGACGACAACCCAGCAGCGTGATGACAACCTCCAGCAGTGTGACAACCTCAGCAGTGTGGCCAACCTCGAGCAGTGTGACGACAACCTTGAGCAGCATGATGACAACCTCTTGTAGTGTGACGACAACTTCCAGCGTGGCGACAACCTCTACCAGCTGAGGACAACCTCGAGGCGTGATGACAGCCTCCAGCAGTGTGACGACAACCTTGAGCATGATGACAACCTCTTGTAGTGTGACGACAACCTTGAGCATGATGACAACCTCTTGTAGTGTGACGACAACTTCCAGCAGCGTGACGGCAACCTCCACCAGCGTGAGGACAACCAGAGCGTGACGAAACCTCAGCGTGACGACAATCTCCAGCAAGCGTGACGACAACTTCCAGCAGCGTGACGACAACCTCCACCAGCGTGAGGACAACCTTGAGGAGCGTGGGCAAACTCCAACAACGTGACGACAATCTCCAGCAGCGTGACGACAACCTCCAGCAGCGTGACGACAACTAGCCAGCAGCGGCGACAACCTCCAGCAGCGTGAACCAAATTCCAGCAGCGTAACGACAACCTCCAGCAGCGTGATGACAATCTCCAACAGTTTGACGACAACCTTCAGCAGGTGACGACAATCTCCAGCAGTCAGACGACAACCTTCAGCAGCGTGACGACAATTTCCAGCAGCGTAACGACAACCTTCAGCAGCGTGACGACAATCTCCAGCAGTGAGACGCGACAACCTTCAACAGCATGATGACAATCTCCAGCAGTGAGACGACAACCTCCAGCAATGTGACGACAACCGTCAGCGGACAACAACCTTCAGTAGGGAGACTTTAACCTTCAGCGGCGACAACCTCCAGCATCGTGGCGACAACCTCCAGAAGCGTGACGACAACTTCAGACGTCACGACAATTTCAACAGCGTAACGACAACCTTCGGCAACGTGACGACAATCTCCAGCAGTGAGACGACAACCTTCAGCAGCATGATGACAATCTCCAGCAGTGAGACGACAACCTCCAGCAGCGTAGCGACAACGTCCAGCAGCGTGACGAGAATCTGCAGCGTAACGACAATCTCGAGCAGCGTGACGACAACCTCCAGCAGCGTGACGACAATCTCGAGCAGCGTGACGACAACCTTCAGCAGCGTGATGACAATCTCCAGCAGTGAGACGACAACCTTCACCAGCGTGACGACAACCTCCAGCAGCGTGACGACAACCTTCAACAGCGTGACGACAACCCTTCAGCGTGACGACAACCTTGCTACGTGACGACAACCTTCAGCACCGTGACGACAACGTTCAGCAGCGTGACGACAAGCTTCACCAGCGTGACAACAACCTCCAGCAGCGTGACGACAATCTCCAGCAGCGTGACGACAATCTCCAGCAGCGTGACGACAATCTCCAGCAGCGTAACGACAATCTCCAGCACCGTGACGACAACGTTCAGCAGCGTGACGACAACTTCAGCGTGACGACAATCTCCAGCAGCGTGACGACAATCTCCAGCAGCGTGGCGACAATCTCCAGCAGCGTAGTGACAACCTCCAGCAGCGTGACGACAATTTCCTGCAGCGTAACGACAATCTCGAACAACGTGACGACAACCTCCAACAGCGTGACGACAATCTCGAGCAGCGTGACGACAACTTTCAGCAGCGTGATGACAATCTCCAGCAGTGAGACGACAACCCAGCCAGCAGAGGGCGACAACCTCCAGCATCGTGACGACAACCTTCCAGCAGCGTGACGACAACCTTCAGCAGCGTGACGACAACCCAGCAGCGTGACGACAACCTTCAGCAGCGTTCCGACAACCTTCAGCAGCGTGACGACAATCTCCAGCAGCGTGACGACAATCTCCAGCAGCGTGACGTCTCCAGCGTAACGACAATCTCAACAGCAAGACTGACAACCTTCAGCGAAATGTGACGACAACCGTCAGCGTGACAACAACCTTCACTTTGGAGACTTTAACCTTCAGCGTGACGACAACCTCCAGCATCGTGGCGACAACCTCCAGCATCGTGGCAACAACCTCCAGCAGCGTGACAACAACCTTCAGGAGCGTAACGACAACAGCAAGAGCGTGATGACAACCTTCAGCAGTGTGACTTTAACCTTCGCCATAACGATAACCGTCAGCATTGTGACGACAACCTCCAGCAATGTGACGACAACATTCAGAAGCGTGACGACAACCTTCAGTAAAGTGACGACAACCTTCATCGTAAAGACCACCTTCAGCAGAGTGACGATAACCTTCAGCGTGACGACAACCTTCAGCAGGGTGACGACAACCAGCCAGCAACTTGACAACTTCCAGCAGCGTGAAGACAACCTCCAGTAGCCCGACAACCTTCAGGAACGTGACGACAACCTACAGCAGCGTGACGACAATCTCCAGCAGCGTGACAACCTCCAGCAGCGTGACGAAAATCTCCAGCAGTGTGATGACAACTTTCAGCAGCGTGACGACAATCTGCAGCAGCGTGACGACAACCTTCTGCAGCGCGACGACAACCTTCAGCAGCGTGACGACAATCTCCTACAGCGTTACGACAACCTCAACAGCGTAACGACAATCTCCAGCAGGGTGACGATCTCCAGCAGTTTGACGGCAACCTTCATTGACGAAAACCTTCGGCGTGATGATAACACTTCAGCAGAGTGACGACAACCTCCAATGTGACGAAAAACCTTCCAGCGTGACGACAACCTTCAGCAACGTGATGACAACCTTCAGCAGCATGGCGACAACCTTCAGCAGCGTTATGACAACCTTCAGGAGCGTGACAATAACTTTCAGCAGCGTGACGACAACCTTCAACAGCGCGACAACCTTCAGCAGCGTCGATGACATTCTACAGGCGTGATACATAACCTTCAGCAGCGTGCGACAACCTTCAGGAGTGTGAAGATAACTTTCAGCAGCGTGACGACAACCTTCAAGCGTGACGACAACCTTCAACGCGTGATGATAACCTTCCAGCATCGTGAAAACAATTTTAAACAGCGTGAGACAACCTTCAACAGCGTGACGACAGCAGCCAGGAGTGTGAGAAGATAACCTTCAGCAGCGTGACGACAACCTTCAACAGCGTGACGACAACCTTCAGCAGCGTGATGACAACCTTCAGCATGTGAAAACAATTTTCCAGCAACATGACGACAACCTTCAGCAGCGTGACGACAGCACCTTCAACAGCGGGGCGACAACCTTCAGCAGCGTGACGACAACCTTCAGCAGCCTCACGATAACCTCAAGCAGCGTGACGACAACCTTCAGCAGCGTGACTTTAACTTTCCACGTGACTACAACCTTCAGCAGCGTGACGACAACCTCCAGCAGCGCGAAGACAACCTTCAGCAGCGAGACGACAACCTTCAGCAATGTGACGACAACCTTCAGCAGCGTGACGACATATCGGAGCGTGACGAAAACCTACGGCAGCGTGACGACATCTCCAGCAGCGTGACGACAACCTCCAGCAGCGTGACGAAAATCTCCAGCAAGTGACGACAACCTTCAGCAGCGTGACGACAATCTCCAGCAGCGTGACGACAACCTTCAGCGTGACGACAACCTCCTGCAGCGCAAAGACAACCTTCAGCAGCATGACGACAATCTCCAGCAGCGTGACGACAACCCAGCAGCGTCACTTTAACTCAGCGTACTACAACCTTCAGCAGCGTGACGACAACCTCCTGCAGCGCGAAGACAAAATTCAGCAGCAGAACGTAACCATCCAGCAATGTGACGACAACCTTCAGCAGGGTGACTTTAACTTACAGCGTGACGACAACCTCGAGCATCGTGACGACAACCTCAGCAGCGTGACGATAACCTTCAGCAGCGTGACGGAGCAACCAGGGGCGTGACGACAACCTACAGCAGCGTGCGACCAATCTCCAACAGCGTGACGACAACCTCCAGCAGCGTGACGAAAATCTCCAGCAAGTGACGACAACCTACAACAGCGGCGAGCTTCAACTTTCAGCGGCGCTACAATCTCCAGCGTGACGACAACCTTCAGCAGCGAGACGACAACCCAGCAATGTGACGACAACCTTCAGCAGGGTAACTTTAACTTTCAGCGTGACGACAACCTCGAGCATCGTGACGACAACCTCCAGCAGCGTGACGATAACCTTCAGCAGCGTGACGACAACCTCCAACAGCGTTACGACAATCTCCAGCAGCGTAACGACAATCTCAGCAGCGTGACGACAATCTCCAGCAGTTTGACGACAACCTTCAATGTGACGAAAACCTTCAGCGTGATGACAACCTTCAGCAGAGTGACGACAACCTTCAATGTGACAAAACCTTCAGCGTGACGACAACCTTCAGCAACGTGATGACAACCTTCAGGTGACGACAACCTTCAGCAGCGTAATAATTACCTTCAGCAGCGTGACGACAACCTTCAACAGCGTGACGATAACCTTCAGCAGCGTAATAGTACCTTCAGCAGCCTTATTAAAATCTTGAGCAGCGTGACGACAACCTTCAACAGCGTGACGACTGCCTTCAGCAGCGTGACAACAACCTTCAGCAGCGTGACGACAACCTTCAACAGCGTGGCGATAACCTTCAGCAGCGTGACGACAGCCTTCAGCAGCGTGCAACAACCTTCAGCAGCGTGATGACAACCTTCAGCAGCATGGCGACAACATTGATCAGCGTGATGACGGCAGCCAGCAGCGGCGACAGCACTTCCAGCATCGTGAAAACAAACTTCAGCATCATGACAACAATCTTTAGCAGCGAGAGGACAACCTTCAGCAGCGTGACGACAACCTTCAGCAGCGTGATGAC